TAAGGACACAACTGTAGAACTTGGTCTGAGCGGAACTTGATTCTCCTAATTTTTGGCTTTTTTTTTTTTTTTTTAACATCATTAATAATAATAATAATAATAATAATACAGAAATTTAAAATGATGAATCCCATGTTACTTTCAGACAGTTGCTCTTACAGTTACTCTTCATTAGGGATGTGCAAAAAAAAAAAAGTTTAATGTGATGATACAGTATCGATATTGTCGTGGGCTGCTGTATCGATCACCTAGAGTATATTTGGTGTATTTTATTAAATTATTTTGTCACAGCGCTAAAGCTTTGTTGCTTGTTTAGTGGAAGAAAACTCGTTTATGCGACACATTTGGCATTTTCACGGTTTTGAGGATTAAATATTTATTTTTCATATTAACTTTGCACAAGAAATGGTTTAACAAAGACTTGAGTTGGCCTTTATTTTTTACTGAACCATATCGAATTGGTTTGAAATATATCGTATCAAACCGAAAGTTCACTACTTCGAGAGATGTATCATATTGAGGTATTTATCGTATCCGCATCTTCTTAACGATACCCAGCCCTACTCTTAATTGACTTGTAGTTTCCCAAAATACTATACTCTTACTTTGTACTTCTACTTGAGTAATATTATTTTAAGGTATTGTTACACTTACTTGAATAAATATTTTGGCTTTTCTTTACCAAACTCTGGTACCAGGACGTCATAGAAGTCTCATTCACATTACAGAATTCTATGTGAAGTCAATATTTATTTATTGATTCAGATTGGACCCAGGTTAATTTTGTAAATAAAACAACTTGACAACTTATAACCCTAGATCTCTAATGAGCAGATCTAGTACACTGTTCATGTTGAAGGTCTTTGAGGTATCGCAAAGGTTAAAATGACTTGCAAAAGGAAAATTTGAATAAAATATGTTGCCAGAGTTGTGAGTGGGATGCTGCCAGTTCATGTCAGTGTGGATTCTTAGAGGGGGGTGGTATTATCTTGACTCTGGGGGGGTGGGGACTTGGTGGGACCCCTGCTGCTGGGACCTGTGCGTGTCCTGAAAGAATCTTGACTAATGGCTGACACATTTGTTTTGGAGATAGACTGAGGGCCATTGTGTCACGTGTCCTCCCTGTGTCCCCCGAATGTCCCCTGTAGTGGTGTTTTTACTGTCCTGCTGTAGACCTGCCCAATACAGAACCACACACACGTACAGTTGGGGTAATGACCATACACCACCTCCTCTACAGGTCTCTACAGAAGTCTTAAAGCTCCTATATAACACACAATTGACTCTGATGAGCTTCAAGTCACGTTAAAATGTTGTTTCCTCGTCAAAAACAGACCTGGAGTTGTGTTTTGTTTCATTCACACATGCATCTCCAAAAGTTCAAAGCTTAGTTTAGTGGAGATTGACTATTCTAGGTCTGAAATTATCCAAATGTTGATTGTAGTGAAGGTGTGCGGAGTTAAAAAACACGATGGAGCAATTCAGAATGTGGAATAGAGTGTTTTCTGTTTGAGAGAAGAACCCAAAAAATGCAGAATTTGTGAGTTAAACCTGTGTGAATGGAAAAAAAACACAACTCCAGGTCTGTTTGTGATGAGCAAACAACATTCTAACTTTTTTGTTTGTTTATTTCATTCTTAAAATATAAAAGACATTAGACATTAACAGTGTCACAACATCAAACATACAAGAAACTAATGAAAAAGAGCATTATGTTATCTTATGTTATCTGCCCTATTTTCCTTTTCCAGACAATACATCAACACATCAACAATAGTTACTTTATCACATCAATTGCAAACAGAAATCTTCACTATTTTGCACAACAACTTAGTTTCATTTTTCATACATACACATTGCACTAAATTTTATGTGTTTTTTTTTTTAATGCCATCATTGTACTTGATACTTTTATATTTCACAACACATAGATCAGAAAATGGCGTAATATAGACCAGATCTTAAGCTAGTCTTGGTCACGACTATCTTAGCTAGAGGATTTTACATTTTGTGCATGTTTTGAGCTTCAAACCTGAGATTTATAAAGCAAACATGCATGGTAGAAAACACACATCTCCATCTTATGTTTTCAGTGACGTGAAATACTATTATTTGTATTATTTTTAAGTGCAGTTTCTTCATGGAGTAACATTTCTTCACTAGTGCTGGATATATGATGTACCTTGATACATAGGCCACGATACGATACATATATCAATACAGTGCGCTTTTGATACGATACGATTTATTTCAAATTGATTAGATACAATTCAGTAAAATATAAAGGCTAAATCATGGCTGTGACACTAAAAGTCTTTGTTAAACCACTTCTTGTGCAAAGAATTTACAGATTTTCTTCAACAAAACAGTGAAAATGTCAGATGAAAATGTTGAATGATGTTTCCTTCCACTAAACAACAAAACAAACAACAAAACTGTAGCGCTGTAACAAAATAATTTAGCAAAATATACCAAAAAATACTCTTGGCGATATATTGATACAGCAGCCCACGATATCAATATTGTATTATCACGTTTAAAGAATAGGATATATCGGTATTTTAATATTTTTGCAAAGCCCTATTCTTCACGCAGTTACTCAAGTAAAAGTATGGAATTCAAAAACTACTAGTATAAATTTTTAAGTTGCTCAAGTAAAACTATGGGGTTCAAAAAGTTGTTTTAGGTTAGTCTTGTTTTAAAGTTGCAGAACACACCAGAGCACCCAAACTCCAAACTCAAGACAGCACACAAACTGCACACAGAATGGCCCCACGCGATCCGGGAATCCAACCCAAGACCCCCTGCCGCGAGGCCCGAATGCTACCCACAATACCGCCGCGCCACCAAAATACGTCTCCCTTTTAATCCAATCAGCGGCCTCCAACATGGCAGACCAGCTTTCAATGGACCAGAACCCCCGAGACAAAACGCTAAACAAGTCTTCAAAATCCCATAACGATTGGAAACCCGGACAATGGCCTTCTCTGGACGCTCAAGTGTATTCAGCCCGTCTAATTGCCACGGTGGAAAATGGCCGACGTTCTTTGACAGCTCTGAGTTCTCCTCGTTGCTCTGATGTTCTACACAAAGCCTGCGTGAAGAGGGGGCTTTGGTCTGGGCTTGTCTCTTTGCCGGACTTGGACCTTATGTTTCTCTTTGTACGCGCGATCTATAGAGTCGGACACTGTAGGATAAAAGTGAGCCAGCTGCCTGTTATGTCTGGTGGGCCTATAGTTCACTGATTCAAGGTTGGATACTTTGGGTTTTGAAACCTAAAGCTCCTATATTATACGCAAAGTTGGTTCTCGTGAGCTTTAGTGAGTTGTTTTGTTTCATTCACACATGTTAGAGAAATCAGAATCCATTTAAAAAGTGTAATCGCTATTGTCTAGAGATGAGACAAGATCTCGTGCCACAAGATCTCGCCAATCCAAAAGACTGTGCACATGTGAGAAAAATGATCTCTTGACATTTTTTTCTCCTTTTGCTTGGACAAAAAAAAAAAAGTTAAGAGCTGGTGAGTTACAAATTTGGGAAGCCATAGTTGCAAAAAGCAGTTCTACAGTAACTGCTAAAGTATTACATAAAATAAATAAAAATATTGAAGTCAAAACTGTGAAATGGATTGCACTACGTTATTACTTATTACAAATTATGTCAAAATCCGTCTTGGGAAAATTGTGTCTCGTCCGACCCCTACTATTGTCAAAAACTAGGAATGAGCTTCAGAAAGGACTAATAGTACAAATTAAACTAATCAATTCAAGATTCAGAAATTGTACTTTAAATTCTACATTTGAAATACGTGTTTTTAAAGATACTGTATGCATCTACCATACAAGGATTAGGAAAAGACATGACTCCGTTTGTAAATGCTGTTATAAGGCTTGTTTTAATGTACACTTACACAAGACATTTCCCTTCGTTTGTATTCATCTTTTACACGCAAACGGCAAATTCACCACTGAAAATGAATCTTTCTAAAAACTCTGGCTAGAGTGGAGATTCTGAAAAACTACGGTTTGGCATTTACGTGTAAAGTGACAGAAACTGAGTTTTAGAAGCTGACGCGCCAAAAGTGTGACCAGTGTTTCCCTTTTGCTCTGATGATGATGATGATGATGAAGCATCAAAGCAGCAGTCGCATTTCTTCGTTTTTCAGGGTTTTTGTGTGTAACACAACTGTTATGGAATAAATACTACAGGTTTGAATCCAGGTGCTGCCCAGAGGTTTGGCGTAGTTATGACGGCGCTCGATGGCCTATTTATGCGAGTTGATGTAAACGAAAAGTTTTTTGAAAATGTTTTTCGAAATAACATCGTGCTCATAGCATCAAAGGGAGGGAAATATTTGTTTTTCAACATCCCCTGACAGTTCTTAATAGTTGTCTCAAACTTTTAGGTAATGACCATTTCCCAGTTGTTTCTGATGTAGTTCTGTGTGGTTTGGTACTATTCTAGTCCTGGTTTAGTTCTGTTGTAGTCCAGGTTTAGTCCAAAGTTTGTTAGCGACAAGCAATAATTTCTTAGACTCAAACATCATATGATTTTAACCCTTTTTTTTTTTTTTTTTTTTTTTTTTTACTTTTACTATTCAACTTTTTGGAAATACCAGAATTTGTGCAAGTTTTAGATCCTCTGGCAATTCTGAATAGCTACCCAAACTTTATGGTAGTGACTTTTAGTTGTTTTTTTTTTTTTTTGCTTTTTGTGCCTTTTTGTGCTTTTCTACACTCAAATATTCCACTAATCAAACATAAAAGCACAACTCAACCAAGGCTGGAGCAGGAGTAAAAAAAAAAACACAGGGAGCGGGGATGAAAGCGGAGCTGCAAACGGCCTTAATGTGGAACTCCTGTGCAGCTCCTTGTAATTTGCAGCTGGGGCCCGAGGGGGAGGGGCCTGCGTGCGACGGGGGCGTGGCTTCGACCCGGGGGGGAGGGGCCAGAGTGCAGAGAGCAGAGGCTATTCATTCCCGTGCAAACACACAACTGAGGCAGCCTCGCACTCATGTTGTCTCTGGAAGTTTGCTCAGAAGCATTTCGCTGGACGTTTCGCTGGATATTTACAATGAGCGGAAGAAGTACGTGAGGACTACTTCACTGCTACTGCTGCTACTTCAGCTGCTAGTACTGCAGTTTGTACCGGGGAGCTTGCATTTGGAAGTACTTTGGATATGTGTACTTGGATATTCAAATCAGAGGTTGACAATTGAACTCTGACTGATACTGGTGAAGGAAGATACAATGCCTACCGGTAAGCAAATAAATTTGTGTTAATTCAGAAAAAATTTGCATAATTTTTACCTTTGGCTTTTTGTACAATTGTAGTTTTCTAACCACTATTAAAATCTGAAAAAAGAAAAAAGAAAATCATTATTCAAATAGTTGCTTATACTGTTTTCTAATGGTAATTTCAAGTGTTTACAGTGTCTGGTTTAGTTTAAAATATGATCAAAATTGCAGTTTGTATGGTGAAACCTTTATGGTCCTCCTCCTTGTGTGGGATTTTTCACAACCGGAGTCTTAACAATAGTGGTGGAGTGGCCAGCCCATTTAAAAGTCTAGGCTACTTGCGGTCTTGAATGCACCGCTTTGTTGGCTTCTAAGTTTAGTGACAGTCTAGATGCTTTAAAAGAAATTGTACCTTTAAGAGCCGTACTTTTAACTTCTACTTGAGTAATATTTTTGAAGTGATAGTCTTACTCGAGTATAAGATTTGGTTACTCCTCCCAGTGTAGTTTTAGATGTTTTTGCACTTGTCTTGGTTTGGTCTTGATGTAGACTTGTAGTCCTGGTTTAGTCCTGGTTTAGTCCCGGTTTAGTCTCAGTTTAGTCTCAGTTTGGTCCCAGTTTAGACCCAGTTTAGACCCAGTTTGGTCTCAGTTTGAGTCCCAGTTTAGTCCCAGTTTAGTCCCAGTTTAGTCTCAGTTTGGTCCCAGTTTAGACCCAGTTTAGTCTCAGTTTGGTCCCAGTTTCGACCCAGTTTCGACCCAGTTTAGACCCAGTTTGGTCTCAATTTGGTCTCAGTTTGGTCTCAGTTTAGAACCAGTTTCAGTCCCAGTTTTTCTTCTCAGTTTGGTCTCAGTTTAGAACCAGTTTGGTCCCAGTTTGGTCTCAGTTTAGAACCAGTTTGGTCCCAGTTTGGTCCCAGTTTAGACCCAGTTTAGACCCAGTTTGGTCTTGGTTTAGACCCAGTTTGGTCTCGGTTTACTCCCGGTTTAGTCCCAGTTTAGTCCCAGTTTAGTCCCAGTTTAGTCTTGGACTAAACCGGGACTAAACCAAAACTAAACTCAGTTTTGTAGCTGTTTTGTCTCAGTTTTGTAGCTGTTTTGTCTCGGTTTAGTCTTGGTTTAGTTCAAAACTAAACTGGTCCCAGACTTAACCAAGACTTAACCAAGACTTAACCAAGACTTAACCAAGACTTAACCAAGACTTAACCAAGACTTAACCAAGACTTAACTTAATCCAGTTTAGTCTCAGTTTAGTCTCAGTTTAGTTGCAGGTTAGTCCCAGTTTTATCATCTCAAGTCTGGTAGCAACAAAATCTATTTTATGTTTCTCAAACTTAACCTTCAAATATGATTTCACCCTTAAAATTGTTGTCAACTTTTTGAAAACACCAGAATTTGTGGAAGTTTTTTCTGTCACATTATATTAACTTATGTCCAGTTCCTTGGATATTTTCCCCAAATACTTTTATACTGAAATAAATATTTGAACTTCTTAATTCTACTTTTATTTTAGCACACTGTTTGACCACATTGTCCTCTCTGATCTTTTGGTCTTTTATTACCCCCTATAACGTTAACAACATTACATACGCCTGCTAACTGACCGATCGTAAAACTCATTATTTGACTATCTCTTCTCTTGATTGCTCATTACCAGACTTTGTAGCTGGACAGGTAAGAATTCTCAGGTGGAGTCTGCGGTGTCATAGATTTTTTTTTTACCTGGTTTATGGCTCATATCTCTGTAATTACGAAAACTGTCACAAAGTCCAACCTCTTTTCTCAAAAGGAAGAACAAATGAGATTATTTACTTATTACTTGTACCCGATTCTTACTCTTTTACTCTGTTTACAATGAACTAGTTCTGTTATTCACATTTTTAAGACCAAAATATCCTGATGTGATATATCGTCAAAAGTCTCACAATATATCGAATCTCAAGTTCCTTTGTTTAAATGCAGGGTTTTATAGAAGAGACATCTTAAAAACATCGGGAACTACACATCCCACGATTCATTTCAGCGCAGACAACATGAAGAAATATGTTTTTGACTTGAATTCTTGGGATTATGACGGAAATAATTCGCACCAAAATGTTGTCAAGGGGTTTCAAAAGCAAAAAAAGTGTCCAATCTACAATTATATCAGCCTCTTCAAAATATCGCAATAAATATCGTACCGTGAGATGCATATCGTGATAATATCATACATCCCTAATCCAAAGTTATTCCTCACTTACCTTATGTATTTGAGTTTATAAGCACTTTCCGCAAATTTCAGACCTGAGAGCGTAGTTTTGCTGTGACGGTAACCCTAACAACTAGCATGCCAACGCTCACTTCCTGATTCTTGGACAATAAAACACGTTATAATTGCAGATGACAGACTTATTTTGACTTCGAGCTGCTTATACAATATATCTGTACTGGGGCAAGACACATTTTGCTCAAATATATGGGGGGGGGAAAAAAAATCATGTATGGTTTTGGACCCAATCCCTAATGACTAATAACGTTCAATGTTTGTTTATTTCTATTTTGGATATTTTTTCAAAATACTAATTCCCAGCTCTATATTGGAGATTCAGAGTCCCTCATGATTCGATACGATACATAATACATGGATGACGGTTCGATATTATCACGATATGGCGATACAAGGCGATAATCGATTCATTGCAGGTTTTATACTGCTGTTTTTTGTTTGTTTGTGCAAAGTTAATATGAAATACCTCCTATTTTACTTTCAAAACAGTGAATATGTCAAGTGTATTTCATAAACAAAAATAAGTAACAACTAAATAAGCAACAAAATTGTCACAGTCACACATAAATTTGCTAAAAAAATATAAATATACATGTACTCTAGCCACGATGACAGTACTGTATCACCAAATTAGTATCACAATATATTGCTATTTTGATGTTTTTGCACATTCCTGACCTAATCAAATTGTAGAATGCGAGTGATCCCGGCCTGTTGTGTTGTTTATGGTGGTCCCCGTGCAGCTGTCAGTGCGTATAGTGTGTTTGAAGCTCTTGTGTGGACAGGCTTGTTTTCCCTCCAGCCCCCGGCCCATAAAACGACCGTCCCCTCTTGTTTGCTTTCTCGCACCGAGCACGGGCCCTGTCCCAGTGCAGGTGAAGACCACACTGCCCCCTGCTTGGACCAGTGTCTGTAATGCACAAAGATTGAAGTTTTAAAGGTGCTCTATATTATGCAAAGTTGACTCTTCAGAACTTTAAGACATGTTGAAGTGTTGTTACCTCCTCAAAAACAGACCTGGAGTTGTGTTTTGTTTCATTCACACATGTTTGAGTAATGTTTTTATTGCTCTGTTCCACCTTGTGATGTCCTGAAGCGGTTCAAGCGATATTGGCAATTCCAGGGCTCATCCATTAATCTTGTCCTCCTGTTCCTGTTTTACCACATGACATCACAAGGTGGAGTGTTTTCTGTTTGAGAGAAGAACTCTGCAGGATTTGTGTGTTGTGAGAATGAAACAAAACACAAATCCAGGTATGTTTTTGATGAGGAACCAACATTATAACATAAAAAAGCATAACATTGGCTATTTTTAATGTGCCCATGTCATGCAAAATAACTCTTTTCACATTGTATCTTATGCACAATTTGGGTTTTGGAACATCCATTACACAATAGTTATGAAATCTTACTGATTTCTTGGAGGCATCACAGACCAGGAACTATGAAAGGCCGACTATTGCTCATCCCCCCGCCCGTCCTGAGAAAGCACAGGCTCCACCCTCCAAACCTGACGTAGGTGACGAGTGAGCCGCCCTTCCTCCGCCATCTCAGGGAGGGAGGGGGAGACAGACGTGCACCCTGATAGTGGCAGGAATAAACTTTTATTCATCATGGCGTTCAGCCGCATGTGTTGGACCCGGAATCGGACGAGGAGTTTGAGGAGCACGAAGCTCAAGCACCGCGTCGACATCAGCTGAACATTACTGATTGGTAAAGTATTAATAAACACTAAGTAGATAAACTTACTATATCGTGTTTACTGCAGTGTAGAACAATGATCTTATGCTGTCGCTTTTGTTCAGGTGTTCATGTGGAGCAGGGGAGGGCTGCAATTTGTTTAAAAAAAATGCCGAATCAATCTAAAAACCACTTGGGTGACATATACAAGGCCCACACATCATTCTTAGAAGGTAGAAAGCTCTGAAAAGTTGATTTTTGCATGAGATGGGCCCTTTAACAGTTTGAAGTGGTCCAAAGTTCTTCCTCACTTCCCTTTTGATTTTATAACATCCTAATCCAAATACTATTAAAAAAAAAAAAGTTTATAAGCATTTCAAAACTCTTAGAGAATAGTGTGGAGTTTTACCGTGATGGTAAAGCTAACTGTGCACTTCCTGATTAAGTGTTTGGATTAAGGCTTGGTGTCTTTTTAATGCAGAGATCTACTGCCAATCCTCTGTAAAAGCATGTGGTTTGGCACAGAAGGAAAACTTTGGAGGAAGTAGTTTGAGCTGTTTTTAGTGGTTAATTGCCGTAATTTCAAGTCTGCATTGTTTATTTAGACTTAAGTCTGTGTTTATGTTTGAGGAATCAGTCTCGCAAGACATTTTTATTTGTGTTTAATTTAACAAAATAAAATGCAAAATGTGTGATTCATTTCAAAATGCCCTGCCCTGTAATCAACCATAAAATTATCAACCGTTTTAGGAACTAGTCAATGTTAGTCATATTCAGGAACAAAATGTGGCTTGTTGTTTGCTTTAAAATGTTGCTTTCACTTAACAAAGAATAGATTAAAAAAGTACTAAAACAATTAACAATGGATGCAAAAGTGTATATTTTGAGCTTTTAAAATGTCTCTGATATGTGACAGTGATAGATTTAGGGTCCTACCATGTTGTTCTGCAGACTCTGTACTAAATGTTATTCTGTTACTGTACTGTACTTCTCGTTACTGTAGTACTTCCCATTACAATTGTACTTCCTTTTACTATTGTACTTCCCTTTACTGTTGTACTTCCCATTATTGTAGCC